TCCCATATGGGCTTGGTTTTTTTATTTACCTCTTCCTCTCTTTGAAAGCACTTTGCCATTCATCCTTCTGCAGGGGAAGAGATTATAGTCACTCTGTGTTTGGCAGATGGGACAGTGAGGAAAAGAGGATGCTGGGGTGGTAGTGTGGTTGATGCCTATTCACAGGCTGTCCCTGATGCTGGGCCAAGGGCTGTTGTACTGATAGGTCTGGTCTTGACCCACACAATCTGCTTCCTGCTCTGGGATGGATGTGTGAGGTTGGACTGGGATTCCTACAGGCCAGGGCTTAGGCGGTGGGGTTGTGTTCTCCCAGGTACACCTGTGAGGTGTGAGGCATGCAGAGGGCCTGTAATCAGAAAGCCCCCTTTGCAAGGCTCAGCTCTTAGTGTGTATGTGTTTATGTGTGTGCAGATGTGTGTGTGTGTGTGTGTGCATGTACATGTGTGAGCATATGTGTGGAGACCAAATGACTACTTCAGGTGTTTTTCCTCAGGTACCATCTACCTTCTGTTCTCTCTCTCTCTCTCTCTCCTCTTTTTGGTCTTTTTGAGTCAGGGTCTCCCTGTAGCCCCAGCTGGCCTAGAACTTGCTGTGTAGACGAGGTTGGTCTTGAACTCACAGAGATCTCCCTGCCTTTGCCTCCCAAGAGCTGGGATTAAAGGCACGTGCCAGCATACCCCACAAAGTGCTTCGCAGCGAGTTTTGAACTCATGACTCCTGGTTTATAAGATCAGTCCTCCAACCCCTGAACTATGGAGTTTTTGTCTTTTTTTTTTTTCAGAGCTGAGGACCGAACCTAGGGCCTTGAGCTTGCTAGGCAAGTGCTCTCCCACTGAGCTCAATCCCCAACCTCAAAGCTATGGAGTTTTTACAGTTTATTAGTCCTCTCCTTAGAAAAGTGCATCATATGGCAGATCAAGTTGCTGTGGCCTCTCTGTCCTTCTGGCTGTTCTCCGTTCTCCAGCTCACTTTTCATCAGTGCCAATATTGGCCTTTGCCATCCTGGATCTCCTTTGTTCTGTGCTTGTGTTTCTTTCACTGTTTTCTTGAGGTCTTTTTCTTTGAATACAGATCATGTCTTGCAAGTCTATGTTTGGACTCATTGCTTTACATAATCCAAGGAATCACACAGATCGTGCTGAAGTTGGTTGTCTTGCCCATCAAAATGGGCTAAGAATCCAAATACAAAGATGACTTGTGGTGTGGTCTTGTACACTTTGTCTATTTTCCCCAAATTTCTGTCTTTAGTACTGTTGCCTTTGGGGGTGAAGGACTTTGATGACCATTTGTTTCCTCGGAAGTTGCTGGTTGGTCATGAACTTCCTGGTCTGGGCAGTTACAGTGTCGATCATGGTGGTGATGATCCTCAAGCAATCAAGGAAAAGAACCCACTTTTTTTTGACAGAATTCTTACTGCCTGGTCCTCAGTTGATTAGGTGAGGCCAGGTGGTCAAAGAGCCCCAGAGACCCACCCTTTTACAAACCTCCCCAGCACTGGGATTAAAAGTGTGTGCTACCATACTTGGCTTAATTTTTTTTCTTTTTTAATGTGGGTTCTGGGGCTTGAACCAGGTCTTGCGCTTGGTGCTTTACCAACTGAGCCATCTTCCCAGCCCTTAGGGTATTTTTTTGTCCCGCCCCCAGTAGCAGTGCTATGTATCTAGACCCACTGCTCCAGAGCCTCTAGGCAGAGCTGGCCTATGTTTTGAACCTGGCCAGGATATGACTGTGTCACTCAGGGTTGCCTCAGAGGCAAAGAAGGCAGCGAGGAGGGTGACTTAGTGTGTCTAGGGGACTCTATGTGCTAGCCACAGTGTCCATTGAGCTGGGCTCCAGGAGGCAGGCCCTACTCCATCTTACTCCCTATGATCTCTTGGCCTCTTGGTACATCACACGTGCTCAGCAGATACTAGTGGGCTAATTGAGGTGTTTTGCATGTAGTGATGGGTTGAGGCCCACTGAGTCTGCAGGTGTGCCAAACATTTTTAGTGGGGGTGGAAGGTTAGGAAAGAGGGTAGACTGCAGTGTGGCCACCTTTAGGCATAGCTATCAGCTAGGAGGGGATGCATAGCTGATTGGGACTAAGCTATAGATTTCTGGAACCCTGGTCCTTCCAAACAGGAAGCGTTTCAAAGGCTCTGTTTGTTGTCAAGTTGGAGAGTCAGGGGCATCAAGGCAGGTATGGTCGAGTGGGAATGGGTTAGGAGAGGGAGGAGGAGCCAAGGACTTGGCTTCTTGAAGGGGCCAGGCCCAACCCCACAACCACTGCCCCCTTTCCCTTCCCAGTCCTGCCTAAACTCCAGGCTCCCAGGGCCATACCCCAGTGTGGAACCTTGCTGGATAGACTGCTGGGTGGGAGGGATGTGAGCTCAGGGACAAGGCCTACTAAGGCATGGGGATCCAGCTGACAGAGGCTGGCAAGGCACACAGGAGGAGTACAGGATCCAGTGCTGGCTCTACCTCGACTACTGGGGAACTTCAAGGGGATACTTCCCCTCTCTGAGTCTCAGTTTCCCATGTGTCAATGGGGACTTCTGCATTCGCTATAACACAGGGCTGCCGTAAGGCTTAAAAGAGATTCCTTGAAGTGATGTCAGATGTAGGGGCTTGTTATCAGGGGTTACCACTGGGTAGCTCTGGTCATGAGCATTGAAATAGAGTGTGTGTGCCGGGGCCGGGGGCACTGACTCCTGGTTAGATCTGGAGCTCTGGTGGGTTGGTTGAATGGGAGGGGAGAAGGGTCTGCCTCCCAGAGTGGTGGTGGGGTCTTGGGTCAGACCATAAGTGGAAGCACCAAGGAAGGAGCTCAGGTGGGGAGTGAGGAAGAAACTGAAAGAGACAGGCCAGATGGCTTGGGTGCAGCTGGTTCTACGGTTGGGGACTGAGGTCAGAGGTGCTGGGAGATTCCTCAGGGAGAGGGGATCCTGCCCTCCATGGGGGGCTCTAGCATAGATTGGAGGCATGCCAACCTGAGATGTCTGGGTAGCTGCATTTTTACCATGTGGCTTCCTCTCCTCTCTGCTTTCTTTCCCCTTAGAGTTGCCTATGGGAAGGAGCTGAGCTGGCTGGCTGGGGCCTGAATGAGCTTTCCAGGGTTCTGAGCATCTTGGAAGTGGTGTAGATTTTAGTGACACTAAATGGTAAGATGGTGGTGATGACACTGGTAGTGATGGTGATGCTTAGGTGACACTGGTAGTGATGGTGACACCAAGAGTGTTGGGAAAAATGTGGTGATGACACTGACACTGATGGTGCTGATGATTCTGTAGTGATGGTGATACTAATCATGATGGTGACACTGGAGGTTGTGGTGGCTCTGGAGGACACTAACATTGATAGTGACACAGTTGATGACACAGTAATAGAGGGGAAACTGGTGACAATGGTGATATGGATGGTGATGACACTTAGTGATGGTGGTGGACACTGAGATGGTGACATGAGTGGGTGATGACATTGTTAGTGATGGTGGCGACACTGGCTGAGATGGTGACATGGGTGGTGATGACATTGTTAGTGATGGTGACAACACTGGCTGAGATGGTGACATGGGTGGTGATGACATTGTTAGTGATGGTGGTGACACTGGCTATGATAGTGACATAGTATGTGATGACATTGTTAGTGATGGTGGTGACACTGATTGTGATGGTGTCAAAGGGTAATGGTGACACTAGTCATGATGATGACATGGGAGATGATGACACAGTAATGGTGGTGACATTGGTTGTGATGGTGACACAATTGTTGACAACACTGTTAGTGATGCTTGTTGCACTAGTCATGATGGTGACATGGGTGACCAAGACCTCTAATCAGTAAGAGACTTAGGCAGTAGGGGAGCATTGTCCACTGTTCTCGGGGGGTGGGGGGACACCTTGTGTTCTAGCCAGAAGGGCTGGCATATGTGGGGGTAAAAATAGAATCTCACACACTGCCTCCTCTGCCAGAGATGGTGGTGCAGGCAGGGGAGGGGAACACTGCTGGGTGTCTGCAGTGAATGTAATCCTTCCTCCTCCCGACTTGACAAACCTACCTGCCAGCTCTTCTTGGAGCCTGCTATTGTTTTCTGTCCCAAGAATGGGGCCAGCTTGCTTCCAGAGCAGGAAGGTCCCTATGGCTGGGGTGCTTGTATCTCCCCAAAGCCTGAGACTGTGAAATATTGAGGTGTGGATTGTCCCTTAACAGTAACTGATGCAGCTGGCTGCGGAGTCCCTTGTGGCATGCACACAGAATGCTTCAGACCCTGGAGTTGGACTGGGCTAGAGGTCTCGCCCTTCCCAGCCCCAGTTTCCTCATCTTTAAAATGCGGAGAGTCCTAGAACCCTTCTGTCCTAGTTTCATTTCTGTTGCTGTGACAAATAATAACCTGACCAAAAGAAGCTTTGGGGGGCTGGAGAGATGGCTCAGTGGTTAAGAACACTTAACTGTTCTTGCAGAAGACCCAGGTTTGAATCCCAGCACCCACATGGCAGCTACTGTCCATAACTTCAGTTCCGGGGGATCCTCTGGCCAAAGAAGTCATTTCACAGCCAAGGGTTTGTGGAGGATGCCACTTGCTGGCTGGCAGGCAGGCTTATTCTCAGCTAGCTTTCTTATACAGTCTAGGACAACCTGCCCAAGGAATGGTGTTGCTGGCAGTAGGTTGAGCCTTCCTACATCATTTAACAATTACACAATAGCCTACAGACATGGCCACAGGCCAATCTGATCTAGGCAGTTCCTCAACTGAGTTTCTCTTCCCAAATAAGTGTAGGTTGTTTCAAGTTGACAGATAAATCCAATCAGGATACTCTCCCATAGGGGTGTGTGTGGCCCAACCCTCCTGGAACTCAGTTGGAGTTCCTTCCTGTACTGGAGGAAAAATTGCCTTATAGCAGTTGTCTCTGCAGGGCCTGCCAGTCTGGTAAGCAGGGCTAGCCCTGGAAGCTCTTCCCTACAGATGTAGAGGGGAGCCTTCAGGCCCACTTTGACTGAAGCTTTCACTTTTCTCTTGGCAGGATCGACAAGACCATGCTGGCGGGTCTGAAGGTCAAGTAAGTAGCCACTTCCTATTCTGTAGAAGTCAGAGACTGGACAACAAACCAGAGTTCCCCTGGGGGATGTGGTCCCTTATGTTGTGGGAAACAGAGGGATGCTGTGGGCTGTCAGCTTCCAGGCTCTGTTGAGGGGCTTCTTCACTGGAGGAGACTGGATCAGGCTCTTGAGTCCTGGGTATCCAGGGAAAGACAGTCAGGAGTGGGAGCAGTGAGGACCAGCATGGTGGGAATGTAGCTAGTGGGTGTGATTTTCAGGTCACACAGTTAGCAGTAAGAAAGATAGTTGTGTTTTCTATCCCTTAAGTTTTTATGTGAAGCCCCAATTCCAACAGGGCATCTTTCTGTCAATCCCCATCTATTTGAAAAAGCAATGGCACATTGTTCTGGAACCTCTTAAAACACCCTTGCATGTCTGTGGGATCAGCTGGTTATTGAGTCATGCTACTGACATATTAATCTGGTCAGCCCAGTTCAGGGCTCTCTGAAGCTTCTGCACCACATGTGTTGGGCCTGGGAACTGTAGGCTTTGGTTTGCCATGTGGCTGCTGGTCTGTGTGGGAAGCCTAAGCAGAGGCCCACCTCTGTCCTGGAACAACTGTCCTCCCTTCCCTCCTCCTCTTCATTCCTTTCCCTTTGTTTGGTCTCCATCTGAATTCCTTCTCTTTTGAGGCTTAACTAAGTTTAAGAAACTTGTATCTTCCCTTTCTGTGGCCTGAGTAAATTGAAAAGGAGGAATATTTTAGAAGGGAAAGAAAGCATTGATCATTGGCTTAAAATATTCTCCCACCATATGTAAATTGTCATGGGGCTCAGTGAGCATGTGCAAGGCCCTGGGTTCATTCCCCAGACCTCCCCATCAAACACACAAAACATCACCTTCAATGAGTTGCCTCTTCAGAGGGGCTCCTCTGGCTGTCCCTACTTAATAGCTCTAACTCAGCTGCAAGTGTCCCATTTGGTTGCCAGTAAGGGCTGTGTCTTTCCTGGGTCCAAGTATCTGGACAAGGAACAACCAGTCTTGAAGATTGGCATGTGAGGGGGTCAGAATAGAAGACCTTCCACTGGGTTTGTTTATCCCAGAAAGGTGAGGGGGTGGGAGGTGGTGAGCGGGGCTTGGGGAAGAGATTTTAGTCTTTCTGTAGAGTTGGTGCCGGGGCAGGCTGGCTTTGAACTCACATCGATCACCTGCCTCAGTCTTCTGAGTGCTGGGATTAAAGGCATGTGCCACCATGCCTGGCCCCAGTCAGTCATTTTGATGCCCTCTTTTCACTTGTAAAATTTGGCATGGTATCTCATTGAGTTGCCCAGGCCGACCTTGTGTTGCTTTATCTTTTCCTGGGGAGATGTGAACAAATGTTTCTTCACCCCTCATAGGCACCAACAACAGACCAAAGAAATGATTTCCTCCAAGTCTAGCTTGGTGAACTAAAGAACTGAATTGAAGCTGGGCGTGGCAGCACACGCCTTTGATCCCAGCACTTGGGAGGCAGAGGCAGGTGGATCTCTGTGAGTTCAAGGCCAGCCTGATCTACATAGTGAGTTCCAGGGCTACAGGGAGACCCTGTCTCAAAAAGACAAAAAAAAAAAAAAAAAAAAAAAGTTGAATTGAGGAGCATGGGGGAGGGGCTACCTACAAGAGTGTAGGTAATTTATGGGTCATTATGCTGCCTAAGAAAGTTCTCTTGGCTGGGTGTGGTAGCATGTTATGGTCTTTCATCCCAGCACTTGGGAGGCAGTGGCAGGTGGATCTCTGTGATTTTGAGGCCAGTTGCTGAAGGGTGTGGAGTGGCGAGGTATTTCTTTTAGGGCTGTCTCGGGTCAGCTAATTCAACTGCAACAAGGGTTTGTGGAGGGTCTGTTTGTTTTAATTAGTACTGTTTATAACCTGGAAAGGAGAGGGGTCCAGGGTGGTATGAAGAGCTGTGATCAGTGCTGAGAGAATGGGGCCTCAGTGGGGTCTCCAGGTATCTGGAGGGCAGTTGAGAGTGCAGGCATGGGGAAAATGCTATTGAGACGGTGGTTTCCTACAGGGCGTGGGGTTGAGTTTCTACCTGTAAGATTCTGTTGACTGTAGGGAACTTGAAACTGGGTAGGCTGGCACATACCTGTAATCCTATCACTTAGGGAGCAGAGGCAGGAAGATGAAGAGTTTAGGAGAGAGGAAGATCAGAAGTTCAAAGTCATTCTTGGCTACAGCTCACAATACCTGAGCCCTTGCCTCAAAAAAACAAGACAAAACAACAATCCCAATTTAGTGTAATCTGGTTAGGCAAGAGATGGAAAGCAGTCCCATCCAGCATGCCTTTAAGGAAGCAAAGAGGAAGCAGAACTAGAGCTCGGGAGGGGTTAAGCCAGGGACTGGAAAGCGCTAGTCTATCAAAATCCTAGCTGGCTTCTTTGCAGAGATTATTCATTTCTGTACAGAAACGGGTAAGCTGAAATTCACATGGGGGTTCAAGTAAGTATACTCTTGAAAAAAGAAGAACCAAGTTAGAAGATTGCACTTCCGATTTCAAAATTTACCACGAAGCTACTATAAGTGTTGTGGTATTGGCATAAGTCTAGAATTATAGATTGATGAAATAGAATTCAAAGTTCAGAAATAAACCTTCATGTCTACGGTCAGATGATTTTTTTTTTTTTGAGACAAGGTCTAACTATGTAGCCCTAGTCTGCCTAGAGCTCCCTATGTAGACCAGGCTGGCCGTGAACTCAGAGAGATCTGCCTGCCTCTGTCTCCCAAGTGCTAGGATTAAAGGTGTTAACCAGCATGTGGCCAGTCAGATGAGTTTTTTTTTTTTTTTTGGTCTTTTTGAGACAGGACCCCACTGGAACTTACTATGTAGACCAGGCTGGCCTTGAACTCACAGAAATCCACCTACCTCTGCCTCCCAAGTGCTGGGACTACAGGTGTGTGCCACCACTCCCGGCAAAAAATATTTTTTTAACGAACAACTAACAAACCATTTAATAAACAGTTCAACAATGGTTAAAAAGGGGACAGATGAATATTCACATGCAAAAACAATGAATTGGTTCCCTCTCTCACACTATATGAAATAGTTAACTCAAAATGGATCAAAGACCTAAATGTAAGAGTTAAAATTGTAATTCTCTTAGAAGAAAACATAGGTATAAATCTGAGATTGTGGGTAAGGCAGTAGTTTTTCAGACACTAAAAAGATAAGCAGCTAAACTAAGAAAAAATAGGTAATTTCAACTTTATCAACATTAAAAACTTGTGCTGGGAGTGCAGCTCAGTGGCAGAGTGGTTGCTAGCATGCAGTAGGCCCTGTGTTGGGTTCTCAGCAGGGAGAAAACAAACAAGTATTAAAAACTGTTGAGCTGCAAAGGATTATCAAGAAAGTGAAAAGATAATCCATCAAATGGGAAGAAAATATTTACAAGTCATTTATATAATAATGGATTCATATAAAATGTATAAAGTACTTACAACAGTTAGCAAATTTTAAAACAGAGTGAGAGGGCAGAGAGTCCTGGGGGAGTAGCTCAGTGGTAGAGCCCTTGCCTGTCATGTGCCCTGAGTTCATCCCTAGCACCTCAAAAAAGAAGGAACAAGTGGAAGAGGAGAAGGAGAGGAGGAGTAAGCTTTAAAGGAGGAGGTAGTGGAGGAGGAGAGGAAGAAGGAGCAGGAGGAGGAGAGGGGGCAAAGAGTTTGTGTAGACATTTCTCCAAAGAAGATATCCACATGGACAATAACCACATGAAAAACTGTTCAACATCATTACACAGCAGAGGAATACAGATGAAAAACCAAAATGAGGGTCTAGTGAGATGGCTCAGTGGGTAAAGGTGCTTGCTGTATAAGCCTGGTGACCTGGGTTTGATTCCTGGAGCCCACATAAAAGTGGAAGGAGAGAACTGACTCCAAAATGTTGGCTTCTGACCTCCACACTCTTGCCATGGCCCATACACTTCATGCACATGCACATACAAACACACAATGATGATGATGATGGTGGTGGTGGTGGTGGTGATGATGGAATAACAATCAGTGCTGTTGAGAGTGTGGAGAAACTGGAATCTTCATGATGGGTATGTAAAATGGAGCAACTGCTTTGAAAAACAGACAATTTCTCAAAAGGTTAAAGCATAGAGTTATGACCAATAATCAACTCTCTTAGGTATAAACTCCAGAGAAATGAAAACACGCACCCAAAGTCCAAGGCAACATTACTAACGATGACCTAATATGGAAAAAACATGAATGTTTCTCAGCAGATGAATAGACAAAATGTGGTGTATCTATAAATGGAATATTATGGATTGAAAACAAGCTTCATGAAAGAAGCCAGACACTGAAAAATATTGTAGGATTCCATTTACAGGAAATGCCTAGAATAGGCAAATCCCTTAAAAACAAAGTAAGTTAGTGGTTTTGTAGGGCTTGGAGTTTGTTGGGAGAGGAGAAAGGGCGGGAAATGTGTAAGATTTACAAGCTTCTGTTTGGGAACTAGATACTACAGGGATGGTAGTGGTGATGGTGGTACAACTTTTTGAGTATCCTGAGAACCATTGGATTATACACTTTAAAAATGGTGTATAGAGAGCCGGGTGTGGTGGCATATGCCTTTAGTCCCAGCATTTGGGAGGCAGAGGCAGGCAGCTCTCTATGAGTTTAAGGCCAGCCTGGTCTACATAGAGGGAGACCCTGTCTTAAAAAGACAAAAAAAAAAGTTGTATAGAGTGTGTCTCAATAAAGCTTATTTTTGTTTTGAGACAAGGTTTCATGTAGCTAGGGTACCCTCAGACTCATTATGTAACCAAGACTAGCCTTGAACTCTTAATCTTTACCTTTATCTCTCAAGTGCTGGGATTACAGGCATTTGTCACCATGCCCAGCTTTATCAATACGCTTTTAAAAAAGAGAACTGCATGGGTATAGTGGCATATGCTTTTAATCCCAGTACTTGGGAGGCAGAAGCAGGTGATCTCTGTGGGTCTGAGGTCAGCCTGGTTTATATAGTGAGTTCCAG